TTTGTCATAGTTGTAATGAATACATTACGCAGTAAATAAGCCTGGCTGGCAGCCGCCCTGTTAATTGGATAATGTGAATGGAAGGATGGGAATCGAGCAGATGAGAAGGAAAGCTCATCAGAAAGCTTCGAGGACAGCGGAAAGAATGTAAGATCCTCTACACTGCAACTCAGAGGAGGAACAGGGGTCGTTCAGCATGCACGTACTAAGTAGGCAGTGGAGTCCCGCACACTGTGTGGGCTTCGACTCATCTTTCACGGAATGCTTGTTTGGCTTCTTTGGGCAAGTGTTTCAGTTTGCTCATCTTTAAAGTGAGGTTGATAATACTGTCTGCCTCATAAGAGTTGCCGTGAATGTTGATAAGATGACCCCATAAAGGACTTCCTTTGTGTCTGGATATGGTATTAGTAGTAGGACTATCAGCATGTATACACGAGTGTGTCCCCCCCCACCCAATTTTTCTAAATTATTTTATTCTAACATAATTACAGCTTAACCTGCAGTTGTAAAACCTAGGCAGAGATCCTTGTACACTTTACCCAGGTCTTGTAACATCTTGAAAAACTTACAGTGCAATAAAGTATCACAACCCGGATATTGACATTGGTAACAGCTGGCATACAAAAGCGTTTCCATCACCATAAGGAACCCTCATGTTGCAGTTTTTTTTCTTTTTGAGACTCCTGCTCTTGTTACCCAGGCAGGAGTGCAATGGCGCGATCTTGGCTCACTGCAATCTCCACCTCCTGGGTTCAAGCAATTCTCCTGCCTCAGCCTCCGGAGTAGCTGGGACTACAGATGTTGCAGTTTTATAGTCATACCCATTCTCCTCTCACCCTCTTCTTTTTTTAATCCCTGGCAACTACTATTCTGTTCTCCATTTCCAAAATTTTCTCATTTCAAGTATGTTATATAAAAGTGATCACATGGAATATAACCTTTTGGGATTGACTTTCTTCATTCAGCAGAATTCTCTGCAGAGTCATCCAGGTTGATACATGTATCAGTAGTACATTCCATCTTACTGCTGAATAGTATTCCATGGTATGGATATACCACACTCTGTTTGACCATTCGCCTTTTGAAAAGCATCTAGGTGGTTTCCAGATTTAGGCCATGACAAAGAAAGCTGCTGTAAACATTTAGGTACAGGTTTCTGTCGGAATACAAGTCTTTATTTTTCTTGGATAATTGCTCACGAGTACAGTTGCTGGGTTGCATCATAGTTGTATGGTTTGTTTCAGAAAATACCAAACTGTTGACTGGAGAGGCTGTACCATTTTTCATTCCCTCCAGGACTATATGAATGATGTAGTTTCCTTGCATCCTTGCCAGTGTTTGGTGGTTTCACTGTTGTCTGTTTTCCATTCTGAAAGGTGTATACTGATATCTCATTGTGGTTTTAGTTTCCGTTTCTGTGGTGATTAATCTTGAATCTCTTTTCATGTGCTTGTGTGCCCACTGTATATTCTCTTGAAATGTCTTTTCTCTATTTTTTTTTTATGTGTATGTTTTGACATGAGTCCTTTGTCAGATATGTGGTTTGCAAATACTTTCTTCCACTCTGTAGTTTGCCTTTTCAGCCTCTTAAAAGGGTCTTTCTTAAAATAAAAATTCTTTATTAAATTTTAATAGCATTCAGTTTATTAATTTTTCTTTTTATGGGTCGTGCTTTTGGCGTCACACCTAAGGAACTTTTTACCTATTCCTAAGTCCAGAAGATTTTGTCCTGTGATTTTTTTTTTTTCTAAAAGTTTTATAATTTTATGTTTTTGTTTTCAGAGGGAGTCTTGCCCTGTTGCCCAGGCTGGAGGGCTGTGGCGTGGTCTTGGCTCACTGCAACCTCTGCCTCCTGGGTTCAAGTGATTCTCCTGCCTCAGCCTCCCAAGTAGCTGGGACTACAGGCACCTGGCACCACATACAGCTAATTTTTTTGTATTTTTAGTAGAGACAGGGTTTGACCATGTTGACCAGGCTGGTCTCAAACTTCTGACCTCGTGATCTACCCACCTCGGCCTTCCAAAGTGCTGGGATAACAGGAGTGAGCCACTGTACCCAGCCAATTTTATGTTTTACTGTTTTTTGTTTTTTGAGACAGAGAGTCTCTTTGTTACCCAGGCTGGAGTGCAGTGGCGCTATCTCAGCTCACTGCAGCCTCCACCTTGCAGGTTCAAGAGATTCTCCTGCCTCAACCTCCTAAGTAGCTGGGATTACAGGTGCGTACAACCACACCCAGTTAATTTTTGTATTTTTAGTAGAGACAGGGTTTCACCATGTTGGCCAGGCTGGTCTCAAACTCCTGACCTCAAGCAATCTACCCACCTCAGCCTCCCAAAGTACTGGGATTACAGGTGTGAGCCACTGAGCTCGGCCTATGTTTTACATTTAAGTCTGTGATCCATTTTGAATTAATTTTTGTGTAAGGTGCAAGATTTATAGGTCAGGGTTCATTTTTTGCCTATAAATGTCCAATTGCTCTAGCACAAATTGTTTAAAAGGAAGTCTTTCCTCCATTTAATTGCTTTTGTGAAATATTTATGTAGGTCTGTTTCTGGGTTTTCTGTTATGTTCTGTTGAACTGTGTTTTTATCCCTCTATCAATACCACAATCTCAATTATAGCTATCTAGTAAGTCTTAAAATTGGGTAGACCAGTTCTTCTTAGTTTACTCTTTTCTTCTCAAAATTGTTTTAAATATATTAGTTTCTTGTATTGTATACATTTCTGTATACAATTTAGGACAGTCTTGTCTATCTATACCTACAAAAAATATTGCAGGATTTTGATAGGGATTATTTTCAGTTTATGAATCTGATCTCCACTGACCCTACAGAACTTCATTACTCGTCTGTCGCTTGGTTTGAATGTTCAGGATCCCTCCGTGGCCTTCTCTGATTACCCTAGTGGAGGGTGTTGGGTGCTTGATTGTAGGTGGAAGTCAAAGCTCCCCATTTGGCCTTTGCGGCTTGCCTGGGGGTGGGATTACAGTTTTTTTGGTTTGTGTGTGTGTGTGTGTGTGTGTGTGTGTGTGTGTGTGTGTGTGTCTAGAGTAGAATGATTATTTTCTAAAAATTTTCTGTCTTCCTAGGCTGTCTTTTGTATAGTTCTTTAATGAGAAAGCAGGCATTTACTGGGGGGTTTTGTTGCCAGCATCTCTTGCCATTTCTGGTTTGCTGACATCTTTGGTTCCATGTCTGAGCTACAGGAGGCAACAGAACGCCCAAGGAACTCATCATTGTATTCCTTGGGTCCTGAGTTTCGTAGCCAGTCTGCCTTCTTCTCCTTACCTTTCAGGGTCTTCTTATGCTTGTTTTATATATAATGTCCAGAGTTTTGTTTGTATTTTGCAGGAGGGGCAGGGAAAAATTTGTTTATCTTCTTGCAAGCTGTGCCCACATTTTCTTCTTGTAATTATAAAAATTTTGAATATTTAGAAAAGTAGTAAAGGATAATGAACATAAACCTACCTATTTTCTAGTTTTAAGAGTTGTAAATGCTTTTTAGTATGTCTTAATCTATTTTTCTTTTCTTATTTTTTGAGATGGAGTTTCACTCTGTCACCCAGGCTGGAGTGCGATGGTGCACTCTTGACTCAGTGCAGCATCCGCCTCCTGGGTTCAGGCAACTCTCTCTCCTGCCTCAGCCTCCCAAGTAGCTGAAAGTATAGGCATCCACTACCACACCTGGTTAATTTTGTGTTTTTAAAAGAGACAGGGTTTCACCATGTTGGACAGGCTGGTCTCAAACTCCTAACCTCAAGTGATGTGCCCACCTCAATATCCCAAAGTGCTGGGATTACAGGCATGAGCCACTGTGCCCAGACAGTGTATATTTTCTGAGATGCTTTTAAAGTAAATTAGAAATATAATGAAATTTCACTTTTAAATATTCAATATGCATCTCTAAAAAATAAAATTTTTGAATATAAGGAGAATACTTTTAGAGTGACTTATAGTAACATCTTCATGTTATCTGATATCCAGCTCATTCTGATTTCCCTAGTTACTCCCAGAATTTCTTATAGCTTGATGAACAAAGAAGGATACAATCAAGAACATGAATTGCATTTAGTTGTTAGGCTTTTATGTTGGCTGGAATCTGAGATAGTTCCTTTCCTACTTTTTTCTACATGACATTGATTTGTTGAAGAAATAGTTCCTGTTGAACCTTGGAATGTCCCATTGTCATTAGGGTTTTGTCTGACTGTTTCCTTGTGTTTCTTTTTTCTTTTTTTGAGACTGAGTCTCACTCTGTCTCTGTGATCTCCGCTCACTGCAACCTCCGCCTCCTGGGTTCAAGCAATTCTCCTGCCTCAGTCTCCCGAGTAGCTAGGATTACAGGTATGCACCAACATGCCCAGCTAATTTTTGTATTTTTAGTAGAGATGGGGCTTCTCCATGTTGGCCAGGCTGGTCTCGAACTCCTGACCTCGTGATCCACCCACCTTGACCTCCCAAAGTATTGGGATTACAGGTGTGAGCCACCTCGCCAAGCCTCTGTTTCTTTTTTCAGTCTACCCAAGATAGTACTTCAGCATCCTTGTGTTTCTTTATCTCTTATATTTTCTTTTTTTTTTTTGAGACGGAGTTTCATTCTTGTTTCCCAGGCTGGAGTGCAATGGCACCATCTTGGCTCACCGCAACCTCCACCTCCTGGGTTCAGGCAATTCTCCTGCCTCAGCCTCCTGAGTAGCTGGGACTATAGACATGCGCCACCATGCCCAGCTAATTTTCTGTATTTTTAGTAGAGACGGGGTTTCACCATGTTGACCAGCATGGTCTTGATCTTTTGACCTCGTGATCCACCCGCCTCGGCCTCCCAAAGTGCTGGGATTACAGGTGTGAGCCACCACGCCCGGCCTTATCTCTTATATTTTCTGTACATTTGAAGTTAGATCTAAAGCCTTGATTATATTCAAATTTGGTGAGAGTATTTCATAAATGATGCTATGCTAAGCAGATTTTCATAAGTTTGTTTTATTTATAACTTGTATGTGGTAGAGAATATGCCTTCTGCATCCTGTGATACACTGCTGGAGGACATTGAAGATATCGTGTCTCAGGAAGATTCAAAACCACAAGAAAGGCATTTTGTAAGAAGGGATGTTGTCCCAAAGGCACGAAGGCGAAATACCCAAAAATATTTGCAAGAGGAGGAAGACAGTCCACCAAGTGACAGGTAAACTTTTTTCCTTGAAATTATATTCATTTTCTTTCTTTCTTTCTTCCTTTTATTTTTTTATTTTGAGATGGAATCTTGCATTGCCGTACAGGCTGGAGTACAGTGGTGCAGTCTCGGTTCACTGCAACCTACGCCTCCTGGGTTCAAGCCATTCTCCTGCCTCAGCCTGCTTAGTAGCTGGGACTACAGGCATGTGCCACCATGCCTGGCTAATTTTTGTATTTTTAGTAGAGATGGAGTTTCACCATGTTGGCCACGCTGGAATCGAACTCCTGACCTCAGGTGATCTACCTGCCTTGGCTTCCCAAAGTGCTAGGATTGTAGGCGTGAGCCACTGCGCTCGGCTGAAGTTATATTCATTTTCATTCCAGAGGAGAAGCTGACACTACTAGTCTGTGTGATATACATAATGTCTCTTCATGAGAATCTTTGAACTTTTTTTTATTTTTGAGATGGAGTTTTACTGTGTTGCCAGACTGGAGTGCAGTGGCGCTATCTTAGCTCACTGAAACCTCCCTGCCTCCCGGGTTCAAGCAGTTCTCCTGCCTCAGCCTCTGGAATAGCTGGGATTACAGACACCCCCCACTGTGCCCAGCTACTTTTTGTATTTTTAGTAGAGATGGGGTTTTGTCATCTTGGCCGGGATGGTCTCGATCTCTTGACCTTGTGATCTGCCTGCCTCAGCCTCCCAAAGGGCAGGGATTACAGGAGTGAGCCACTGTGCCTGGCCTGAACTTTTGATAGGAAATACAAGTTGCGTGTCACTTAACTGAAATGCTTGAGACGAGAAGTGTTTCAGATACCACTTTTTTTTGGATTTTGGAATATTTGCATTATATGCTTACCAGTTGAGTATTCCTAATCCAGACATCCAAAATGCTCCAGAGAGCATCTTTTGAGTATCATTTTGGCACTCAAAAAGTTTTAGATTTTAGAGTTTTTGGATTTTGAATTTTTGAATTAAAGAAACACAACTTGCATGTAATTTTTTTTTTTTTTATTTGAATGATTTTAAATTTGACAAGGTAATTAGTTAAAAAGAAATGAGATGCCAAACTGGAGTTCCTAGCAGATACCCTAGGACAACAGGAATCTCTCTGATGTCACTGCAGTTGGTATGTAAGTCTGTGTTACTTCCAAATAAAATTTTTGCTGGAGTTTGTGCTTCTTATGAGACAGTATTTTGGACATTTGAATTTTCTTAGCAGATTTTCAAATACTTATGGATCAGGTGAAGGCAGTGGGCACAAAGAAATTATTGCCCTGTTTACACTATTATAGTAGATCACTAGTCTATGAAATTTTGATACAACGTAACCAGAAAGGATAATGTAATTATATAGTTTTAATAAGCCTATATTTGTTTATCTAGTAATCTTTGAATTTAAAATCTTTGAATTTAAAATTTTAATGACTGTGGTTTATCAGATTTTCCCTAAATGTGTCCTTAAAGTAATTTCTATTTACCTATAAATTATTAGAGCAATCCTAGTTGAAAGTGCTTTTATTTTCTAAAAAATTACCTTTTTTTAAGAACTCTAATTTTATAGAGTACTTTTAATAATATCTTAGGATGACAGTTTTAAATTTTGATTAACATTTATATTTGTAAGTTTTAAGGAGGCTGAAGATTGCAGCTAGTATGTAGGAGTCTATAAACAGACATACTTTTCTTTATTTGCTGTTGCTGCTAGAACCACTTTTTTTTCCTATTGTTATTTTTATATGCCTTTCTAGGAATTGAACTTAGTGGTAGTTAAGTTAGTATGAATTTAAAATACAGTTCGGGGAAAGGAGATATTTTTTATGTAGAGTCTTCTTAGAATTCTGTGGTTTATCTTGATTTTAGACTTTTGATAAAACAACAGATTTTGAGTTAAGTTGGTGTGTTTAATGAATAGTTTTTGAATGGACTGCAGTGAGTTTATTTTTTGCGTAATATATCTTAAAATCATTGAGTGGTTTTTATTTTAAAAATTACTCAGTAAAACTAGTCATAGTTTTGGCTCATGCCTGTAATTCCGCACTTTGGGAGACTGAAGTGGGAGGATCACTTGAGCCCAGGAGTTCAAGATCAGCCTGGGCAGCATAGTGGGACACTCTCTCTACAAAAAATAAAAAAGTTGGCAGCTGTCTTGGTGCATGCCTATAGTTGCAGCCACTTAGGAGGCTGAGATGGGAGGATCTCTTAGGCCTGGGAGGTTGAGGTTGCAGTGAGCTGTGGTCACAAAGCTGCACTGCAGCCTAGGCAACAGAGCGAGACCCTGGGGAAAAAAAAAAAAATTACTCAATGAAACTAACTTATTTTTTAAATTGATTCCTTAACAGCACTATTCCAGGCATACAGAAAATTTGGATACGAACATGGGGCTGTTCTCATAATAATTCAGATGGAGAATATATGGCTGGACAGCTCGCTGCTTATGGCTATAAAATTACAGGTAATGAGATCTATAATATATTTTATTGATTAAATTTTTCAGAATTAAGTTTTTTTTTGGAGATACATATTTTAGCTTAGCAGTTAAAGGGTATTTTAGCATTACTTAATGATTTTAAGGTGAAACAGTGATAGCTATTACACATTGTGTAGATACCCATGGATGTCATATTGTAAAAAAACTTTTAAAAACTTGTATTTTGAAATCAGTTTAGATGTTCAGAAAAGTAGTAAAATTAGAGAGTTTACATATGCCCTTTACCGAGCTTCCCTTGATGTTAACATCTTACATAATTGCAATATAGTTAATAAAATGGGAAGTTAATATTAGTGCATTTCTGTTATCTAAACTGTAGATTGTATTTGAATTTGACCAGTTTTCTCATTATCTTTTTCTGTCCCAAGATCTAATCAGGGATTATAGGTGTGAGCCACCACGCCCAGCCTCTCTTAGTTTTTTCTATCAGTACAGACTCATGGATATTTATTTTATTCTGTGGATATAGCCTAATACTATCATGTGTTGTGCTGCTTGTTGTTCAACCTTGGCCGTTAGGACCTTGTTCAGGCCGGAGTTCGAGACCAGCCTGGCCAACATGGTGAAACCTAGTCTCTACTAAAAGTACAAAAATTAGCCGGGCATGGTGGCGGGCACCTGTAGTCTCAGCTACTGGGGAGACTGAGGCTGGGGAATCGCTTGAACCTGGGAGGCAGGTTCAAGGTTGCAGTGAGCCGAGATCGCGGCGCGTGGCTAACAAAATTAGGTGGGTAAAACAAAATATAATATTCCTGTATAAACATACCAGGATTGTTATTTTATACAGACAAGCACTGTTATAAGAGCAAACACAAACCGCTAATGGACTAAAATTTAAATGAAAATGTATTCGATATCTACTATGACACAGAAAAAGTCAACACCTGATTTTCCTTAATGTTTTTGGAAATTATAAGGTGGCAACTAATAAAATTAGTTGCGGCATAGTGGTGCATGCCTGTCCCCAGCTACTTGGGAGACTGAGGCAGGAGAATTGCTTCAACCTGGGAGGTGGAGGTTGTGGTGAGTCAAGATCGTGCCATTGCACTCCATCCTGGGCAACAAGAATGAAACTAGGTCTTAAAAAAAAGAAAAAGAAAATAGCCTTTATATATTGATTTATATTTTATTTATTTCTGAGATGGGTTTCACTATGTTGCCCAGGCTGGCCTTAAGCTCTTAGGCTCAGATAATTCTTTTATCTCAGCCTCCCAAGTAGCTGGGACTATAGTCGTATACTTGGTTAAAAAAATAGCCACACACACAAAAAGAAGAAGGCTGGGTGTGGTGGTTCATGCCTGCTGTAATCCCAGCACTTTGGAGGCCGAATCGGGAGGGTCACTTGAGCCCAGGAATTTGAGACCAGCGTTGGCAACATAGTGAGACCCTGGCTCTGCAAAAATGTTTAAAAAGTAGCTGGCGTGTTGGGACTTGCCTGTAGTCCCAGCTACTTGAGGGGCTGAAGTGGCAGGATTGTTTGAGCCTGAGAGGTAGATAGAGGCTGCACTGAGCTGTGATTGCACACTGTACTTCAGCCTGGGCAACAGAGCAAGATCCTATCTCAAAAAAAAAATGTGCCTAAGATAATTTCCTGAAACATTAAGGAAAATCAGGTGTTGACTTTTTCTGTGTCATAGTAGATATCTAATACATTTTCATTTAAATTTTAGTCCATTAGCAGTTTGTGTTTGGTCTTATAACAGTGCTTGTCTGTATAAAATAACAATCCTGGTATGTTTATACAAGAATATTATGTTTTGTTTTACCCACCTAATTTTGTTTCTTATTTGGGAATAGTTAAAAAGGGAAAATTAAGGAAGTAATTACTTGAATGTGAATTTTTTTTGTGCTAATATATCATAGTGTTACTTTTATATATTGTATTATATATATTTGTATTAATTTTATAAACTTGATTGTTCCCACTTCAGAAATTCATAGTTTTTAATTCCACTCTGGCTTGCCTGCAGCAGACCGTGCAAATACTTTGTTCACGAGTCTAGGTGCTATAGGCCCAGGAAATATAAACAGAATTAGCTTCGATAAGACATTTAAGAAGGAAATTAAGACATTTAAGAAGGAAATCTATACCGATCTTAAATTTAGAGATTTGATGTGAATGACTTCTGGATTACCTATGCCAGTAGCCACTTTCATTACTATGGAATAATGAGAATTTATCAAGTTTATTATGGCTTACTAATTGATAATATTTTTGTTAATGAAATGGAAACCTAAAATATTAAATGTATAATTAATATAAAATAGTTGTAAACTTTAGATTATGTATAATGTATATGGAGATTATTGAAAGTATACAGATAAATCAAAATTACTTCGCAGTAGTCATAGATATTTTTACTATTTGGGTAAGAAAGATTATTTGGGTATGTATTTGAAAGATTATGTGGGTATGTATGCTGCTTTTAAATATGCAAATGCAGGATATAATTATTCTATATTAAAACTTCATAAGGCCAGGCATGGTGGCTCATCCCAGCACTTTGAAGGTGGAGGCAGGCGGATAACCTGAGAACAGGATTTCGAGACAGGGCTGGCCATCATGGCAAAATCCCATCTCTACTAAAAATACAAAAATTAGCTGGATATGGTAGCACATGCTTGTAATCCCAGCCACTTGGGAGGCTGAGGCAGGAGAATTGCTTGAACCCAGGAGGTGGAGGTTGTAGTGAGCCGAGATCGCCCCACTGTGCTCCAGCCTGGATGACAGAGTGAGACTCTGTCTCAAAAACAAACAAACAAAAACAACGTCTTCGTAAATGTTTGGTCAGAATAGTTGGAGCCACCACGTCCAGTTAATTTTTGTATTTTTAGTAGAGACAAGGTTTCACTGTGTTGGCCAGGCTTGTCTTGAACTCCTGACCTTGTGATCTGCCCGCATTCACCTCCCAAAGTGCTGGGATTACAAGTGTGAGCCCCACTGCGCCTGGCCAGGACCTGCTTTATTAAAAGAGGTTTTACAACTTATATTTTAGAAATACTTTGTGATGATGTCAAGTCGGAATGTGGCACCTTATATTTGATTAATATTTCTTTGCAGAAACTGAGACTGATTTGTTTGCTCTGGGAGACAGTGTTAATTGAGTGACTAAAATGTGTAGGGTGTTTCCTGGTCCTGGTTATTCAGTTTGAAGTAGCTTTGAGTTTTGTAACATGTCTATGGGATGTATTGGATTCATGTATGGGAATGCTTTCATAAGGAATACATCCCAGGACCATGCTAGTGATCAGCAGAATTTGAAGGATGTTGAAGCTACACTTTTTTGTTTGGGCTTAGATTTAGGTTGTTGCATGTAATTCAACTGTAAGTACCCAATGTTTCTTAAAAACAAAACTTTGCCTACTTTCTTATCTCAGTTTTCTTTAAGAATTGGTTGACTATTGGCAGTGGCTTTCACCTATAATCCCAGCACTTTAGGAGGCTGAGGTGGTAGGGTCACTTGAGCCCAGGAGTTTGAGACCAGTCTGGGCAACGTAGCAAGATCTTGTCTTACAAAAAATTAAGCAATTAGTTGGGTGTGGTGGCATGTGCCTGTAGTCCCAACTACTCAGGAGGCTGAGGTGGGAGGATTGCTTGGGCCCAGGATAAACCGAGATCATGCCATTATAGTCTAGCCTGAGTGACAGAGCAAGATCCTGTCTCAAAAAATAAAAAAATAAATAAATTGGTAACCATGTCATTTTACATAAATTTATTGTTTGCCTATCTGATATTAATAAAATATATTCAAATAGGGAGTTCTATTCTGTGGAACACACAAAAGCAGTAGACTTCAATTTCTTAAAAATACAAGTAAATGAAAAATAAATGGTATATTATGCTTCTGTTAGGTGCCACAATAAATTGAGCAGGTTAATTATCAATGTAATGAGGATTTTTGTACACGTATTTAGGTAATGGAGCTGCATTGGTTAAAAGCCTACTGTGTATTGGGCATTTCACATGTTATTGTAAGAATCAGATGAAATAACTGGCATGAGGTTGACTGCATGTCTTAAAATGAAGAGACTGAGACTGGAAGAAGGAATACTCATGTGCTAGAGCTGTCATTGAGACATTGTTTGTCCGTTAGCACGGCCTTTTCTCTGCATTATGTTCTCTAGTCTCAAAGTTGATGTTTTAAAAGAAAGACAGTTCAGAATGGAAATTTATTAATATTAATGGCTCTAATTAGAGTAGCTCTTAGCTGCCTAGTATCTTGAAATGTTTTTTCATATATTTCAAATGCCATATATATATATATATTTTTTTTTTTTTTAAGTAGAGATGGGGTTTCACCACGTTGGGTAGGCTGGTCTTGAACTCCTGACCTCAGGTGATCCACCCACTTGGGCCTCCCAAAGTGCTGGGATTACAGGCATGAGCTGCTGTGCCCGGCCAGAGTTTTGAAATATGTAACCCTTATTAGAAGCCTTTATCATTCTTTTGGAGGGAAGAGAGGGGAATATGTTCCACTGCAGTCTATACCACAGGAACATGCTCAGTTTTTAAATTTCAGTGCTGAATTGGGATTTGAAAGTAAGCTGTTTCTTGGCTGGCGTGCTGGCTCACACCTGTAACCCTTGCACTTTGGAAGACCAAGGTGGGTGGACCAACATGGTGAAACCCCGTCTCTACTAAAAATACAAAAATTAGCTGGGTTTGATAGTGCATGCCTGTAATCCCAGCTACTCAGGAGGCTGAGGCAGGAGAATAGCTTGAACCCGGGGGTGTAGAAGCGAAAGTGAACTGAGATCACGCCTGTGCACTCCAGCCTGGGCAATAAGAGTGAAGCTCTGTCTCAAAAAAAAAAAAGAAAGTAAGCTGTTTGTTTAGTTATAGATAGCAGTGGCAGCAGAGTTCTGCCTGGTCCATTCCTACCTCCTTAATCATAAGTATAAAGCCATTGACCTAGTGGAACCTCAGTAGGATGTTTTTTGAACTTCTAGTGGAATTCAGTGAA